ACCACCACCTCACGACAACCTGTCAGCATCACTACCTCACAACAACCGGTTAGCACCACTGCACAACGCCGGAGCCACTACCACACCGCCACATATAGCATACCGCACCTACAACACATATCACTGCACCATACCCCATTCCAAATCCCACCACCGACACCAATAATTGGTCACAAATTAACCAACTAATTGGTTACAACACTCTTCATCTGACTCCCACCCCAACCCCAACAGTTGATCATAAATTAATCTGGCCACAAATCCCCAAATAGTTGGTCACAAACGCTGTTGATCATGCAACATTGCCGCCGCCACCACCATCGTCGTCGCAGCCACCACAACCTGACCATCGCCTGCACCACCACCACCGCCACAAAAAAAAAACCCACAAAACCACCTCCTGCTGTCCTGTCTTCTGTCTGCTAGATTGACTCACTGCGACACCGTTGGCCACCATAATTTCACCATTACCTCTCCAAATCAACAAACAAACCACCAATAGCATCTACTAAAATCAAACCAGACCACTACTCACCGTCTCTTTCATGCAACTGCCATATTTTTCGATCTCTCACCTCTCACTACCATTCGCCGTCTCCGCCCACATCAACCCATAAAAACCACCAATTGTCATCGACACCTTATCAACCACCACCACCACATCGATCTTCAAAAACTAAATCTCTCCATTAACGACCTCACATTCAAAATATGTAATTTTTCAGAAAAGCATCGCAGTTTGCAACACGAAGATTGAAGCTGTGTCGAGTGACGTCACTGGGTTAAGCGATGCTGCTGTTGATAATAACTGCTTTGAGACGACGCCTCTTTAATCTCTCCACAACGATCGCAGTGCTGCGCGACGCACTCAGCAGAAAAGGTACCGCGACACTCACAGTGACGGTGACAATCCGCTGCGTGGGGCGATGCATCGCCGGACCGACAACGAAATGAGACGAGGGAGAGTAGAGAAGGGGAGAAGGTAGAGTGAGTGAGAAGAGAGAGTGACGGAGAGAGGAGAGAGAGAGGGGGGAAATTAAAATGAAATTGATTAGGGTTTGGGATGAAAATTGTACTATTAATATTTAATATTTAAAATAAGATATCTGATTTTTTAAATTGAATTTTTAAAATTCTGATTTTGTGTAATTTCCACAAAATCAAACTCCAGCTCGTTGAAATCAGCGCATAAAGGAAACTAGGTCTAGACACTTAGGCCAAACTTAGGTG